GTTACAGTATAAAACATTATAAGAAACATATTGAATTTGAATGATAAATTATAAATTTCCTTATATACAGGATACATACATATGTTACATGTTTACATATGCACATATTGACATGGCGCTCCAGCTGGTCATAATTCACAACGAGTTCCTCAGAAAGAGATATATTCCTTGAAGGTGACGGTGAGGCTGTTTGACGTGATGTCAGTGATGATGATGTTTCCCATGAAGGGGGAGATTTTCTTCACAGGCGCCTCTTTACTTTTCTCTGCAGATTTGGGCGTGTCCTCCATCACAGGTGGAGCCTCGGCGTCTGCTGGCTGTGTTTCAGACTTTTGTACGGGCTCCGGTTCTATCTCCGGTTCCGGTTGTGGTTCTGGACGTAATTCTGGCTCCGTTTGTCTCTTAGTCTTTGGGCAGCTGAGATCCATGGGCTCGTCCTGGCCGCCAGAGTCCACAAAGTCATACGTGCAATTGCTGCTGGGACGTCGGCTGCTACAGTGTAGGTCCATGGGTTTATCCTGAGGGGGCGGCACCACTGTGCTGGGCACACTGAAGCTCCTGGAGGCCAGAAAGGTTTTAGAAACACCCCTGTCCTCCACCGGATCTGACAGCTTCCGCTTGCGGTCGCCAGGATATGAAGGTATCCTGATCTGGTCCACAGCTGTAGGTGTGGGAATGTTGGTGTCCATGGCCCAGGACATGGACGGTGAGCTGGCAGTCAGCTGTAACGGCAGGTCATCAGGTAGATCGGCCTGACCTCTGGCCACCTCAGTGTTGTATTCCTCTGCCGTGCTTGGTGAAGGTTTGGAAAAATGTCTGTTCTTTGGAGAACACTTGATGGGATGCTCTGCAGCAGGAGGGGAGCGGCCGTTACAAATCTCTTTGGGAACGCCATTCTCCAGATGCTCCCCTATTTTGGTTCTCTGCCCTGGATTGCTCTCTGATGGTTTGGTGCTCATGGGTTTCTCCTCACCTGACGATTCCCCGTGTTTACCCTTGGCTGCGTGAACCTTGTTACCGTCCATGTATTTGCTCATGACAATCACAATGCGTCCGTTTTTGTTTTTGTTCTTGATTATCTTCATTTTGCTGCTGACAGCGCTCGGCAGCGTTGCGTCTTTAGGATCTGGTTTCAGGGCATGTTCACTCTCGGCCTCCTTCACCACCGGTTTCCTCACCTCCACTGCCAACTCTTTGACTTTGCTCAAACATCCTGTGTCTTTGTCACGAACCCATTTCTGCTGCAGAGCCAGAGGTAAGTTCCAGCCAGGATTAGCTTGTTTACAGGCCGGCTCCTGAACTTTGACCACCTCTCTGAGCTTAGAGGCCTGCGTGTCAAACATATTTGGGTCAGGCTCGTAGTGGTGGTGCTTCTTGCTGTTCAGCTGGTAGATGAATTTCTTTTTGCCGTTGGCGAGCTGGTCAGCCGAAACCTCCGGGCTGCTGGGCTGGTACTGATGGTGCTTCTTGCTGTTTAGCTGGTACTGCTGAATCTGGGGACGTTGGACCTGGACAGGATCTGACTTGACTCCACCCTCTGTCTCCTGACTTGCTTCCTCAAAACCAGCAGGGATACTGGATCTCCTGGCAAACGAGGGTACCTGACACGGGGGTCAAGACACAACGGTAAGATTTTCAACAAAGTAAAAAAACAGAGTAAAAAAAAAAGATACAAATTATTATTTTATTATAAAAAAATCTAATAAAAAATACATACTATATATTTAATATATAAATATATTTCATAATACAAATATATTATTAATGTTTAACATGGCAACAAGGCCTCATACACCGGAATGGAAAGCACTCAGTACGCAGGGCATACATACAGGTTTTGACACTTCAGTCTTTCCATTATAAACGTGTCATCTTTGTGGCCAAGTTGAAACAATGTAATGTAATCACTGCAGCATACTGATGTTTATTTTGTCGAAACAAAACTGTTGTGTAGGTGTGCTTACGTGTGAGAAACTGTCGACTCATTATGATCTAAATGTCAATAACAGGAGATTTTACTGCAGCTGAATCATCTGCCAGGACTAACATTTACAAACCAGTTATGGTTGTTGCATAAAAATTTGGTTTCCAGGACGCTGGCAGAAGGCACTGGAGTAGTACTCAGCATGTGACCCACCCCCCAGCCCCTCCACCGTCTCTTCCCCTCCTCCTGCCCCTGCACAGACTGACCCCTCGGGCCGTCAGGAGGGCAGTGCAGCGGAACGCTCAAGACGCTGTGGCTGTGACCTTAGGTCAGAGAAGTGCCACCAGACATGTCACGCTTTATCCCTGATCGCTGGCCACGTGTGACTCTGGCATCGAGGTGCGCCTCTTAGGAAGTGACAATGAATAGCAATCAGCTCTGAGCCTCAGAATATATAATCAAATTTGGCTGCAAATACTGCGGTGTAAAAGGCCTGCGCTGAGACGGCCGAGGCACGACAATGTGCTACTTCAGCCTCATCTATTTTAATCTGAGGGACATTTGTAAACAGGCATGTGAATGAAAACATTGTACGGATATGGACACACACGGTCGAAGAGGAAGTCAACAAGCTGAAAAGGATCAAAGTCCCAGGTCTGGCCGGGGGGCAAGTTATGACACTTGAAGGGGTTCCTATGGGCTCAACTATTCTGTAGAAAATACAGTTTCATTAATGGTTTATTAACAGTGTTGGAAATGAATGATTTGATTAGGTCCTAGCACTGTTTGTCCTATCCTCGAGCTTTCTTCTCAATTTTATTTTATTTGTAAACTGTTGCTCAGGTTATTATTATATTTGAGCTACTCTGTGTCCAAAACATTAGAGTATATTACAATATTTTAATAAGTCTTGGTCTAACTCTGGGAAAAGTCAGGAAGTAGTTCAAGTCACAAGCTAACGTACTTAAGGATATTTGACTAATTTAAGGGCGTTTCTCAGCCTACTTATAGCAACCACAATTTTGTAATTGTTTAAACTAATTTTAAGCTATAAATAGACCAAGTTTAACAGTTTAGTCCTCGCAACTGAGAGCTGAGTCATAAAATAGACAAACTTTGGATGGAACGAATTTAAGCACACGAGCAATGCTTTTGTAAACGAAGACAACAAACCTGGTTAACTAGTATCTCCAAACTGACGACCATAATAACAACATTAACATTCCTTCAATCTGATTCATGTGTGTGTGGTTTCATAAACAGAAACACTAAAAAACAAATGGAGATAATAATTACCTGAAGAAGAAGATGTTTTGGCTTTGGCCCCCGCTTTCGGTATCCCATCTGCTGCTCTTGTCTCTCTCTAAAAATAAAAATAAAATAAAAAATGAAACTAATTTGTCCACAGTGTCCCTTTGGTGAAATAAACAATGTAAGTGTACAAAATGGGAAAAACATGCATAGCATTTCGATCATTCTTCATTTTCTTGTATCCGTTCAAGGTCAAAAGTGGAATCTTCACTCAGACGTCTAATGAATGCCCACACGTGACCCTCTGCAAAGCATGATGGTCCCTATTTGCATAGCTCTCCATGGTAATCGGCCCATTCCGTATTCTCATTACCCTGGAAAATTTAATTACTGCCAAAGCAGGCAGAATCTCCCCTTGTCTTTCAAACATCCACTCTCCGTCAGCTCAGCCTCCTCTCCACACGTTTAATGTCTAATCAGGGTCATGAGATAGGGAAGGAATGGGACGAACACAACGCCACAGCGCCGGGATGCATGCAGCGCCGTGTCTTGTACAACACCATGCTGCAAAAGTGCAGAGAGATAAATATCAGACTAATTATACACTGCTTTTAACGAGGAAGGACTGAGAACATGACGACGGCTGTGCAGACTTTCGGCAGCGGTCTGCCCGTGAAACGCTGCTCCCTGATATAAACCTTGACTCATCATTGGCTCATAAATAACCAGTGGTGGGTGAAAACTGGCTGTGCACAGACTCCACCAGGCATGTGTGAAGCCAGCCCATTGTTGGGTCACTCTGCTGCAGATGTTTAAAGTGTCAGAGCCGGTCACTAAAGTGCAGTATCATATATATATATATATACACACTCTCTACCTTTTTAATGCTATAATGCGTGGCATTTCTAACCAGCATCCGACTGGGGGTGACCTCCATTCACAGAAGATTTGGCAATTACAGCCTCCCTTGTTGGATCCCCTCCCCCATCCTCTGGGAGCAGAGAGGAATCCACACACAGAGCAGAGGCAGAGGCAGCACTCCATGACCTTCAGAGCCAAACACACACACACACACACTCACACTCATGCATACACACTGAGCCAGGCAGGCAGGCTGCAGGGGAATATGAGAGCGGCACACTGGAAACGCTGGAGAGCAGTGTGTGTGTGTGTGTCAATTAGCCTTTTCAGAAAAGCGAATTCCTTTCCCCAGCCCTCATGTCTTCAGGCCTGGTGGCCTACAGAGAGACTGTATCACACAGGCCTCATGGGTCCTGCAACCCAGACAAGATGTTGCTGTGCACATGTCACCAAGCTGTGAGAGTGCCATCATTTGTATTCATTAACATCCCAACCCCAGAGATTGACATTTATGTGTTTGTAATTATTTAACATGCCTGCTGTTGACCCAGACTGAACGCCGGTTGCCATTTAGGTATGATATTCAGCATCTACAGCACAGTAAAGGCTCAGTGATAGTGATGATGGAAATACCATCAGGTGCAGCTCGGCCTACTGATGAGAAAACCACAACAAACGCTGCACACACACACACACACACACAGCCTGGGTCTTTTGTGAAAATTAGCTGCTAACTTAGCACCTGTCCTGCTCTGGTACAGAGGTTTCCAGGAAGCCAAACTGTGAAGATCCGTTCACTTAAATGATCACCAGGACAATCCCGCTTCCTTTTAATGAGTCTCGGTCAATCAGTAGAAAGACGTGCTCCGTGCTCTAGTAGAAGTCCAATTCTTGACGCGTACATATGTCAAAATCAGACAATTTTACGCTATTAGCGCGCACATTCGTACGTATTTCCGCGCTTATTTCCTGATGATTGAGGAATTCTCGCCTCTATTCACGCATCCCCACGGGCAGGAGACTGTCCTATGGGGAAGGGGGCGGATGCGGGGAGGGTGGCTGATGGGGGAAGGGGGGGGCGGTAGAATTACTGCTGCGCCCCTCCTCCCATGCCCATATATGGTCATGGCTGAAGTGGAGGCTGCGGAGGCCTCGTCCAAAGTCCACATCCCTCTCACCTGTGTTGAAAGGCGACGAGAAGACGCGGGTCAAGGATGTTTTCCTCTGGCTCCCAGGTGTTGTATCTGCAGAGGAGCAGAAACAACAACAACTGTCAGAGAGCTGTCACTCTGACGGGCCTCAGTGACACACACACACACAGGTAAACAGATGCATAAACATGCCTCTGGCACTGCACAGCACAGAGGACACTGGTCCAGCTCCGTGCCAAAATTTAAATTTTGTGACCTACATTTGAATATGTCGTTTCTTTTTAAATATTAAGGTCAGTGATAGTGGAAGGATCGCGATCAGCAAATGAACGGTGACGTCCGCGGGCATGGAATGAGCCACAAGGACGTGCAAAAAAATTAAAAACAAAACAAAACATAACAGCAAAAACATAATGTGTGTGTGTGTCCAAACGTTGCTCCAGCACCAGCATACAGTCGGCCATCTTAACACCACTGTCTCACAAACTCGCTGGCAGAGCAGAAATAATTAAAACGGGATTACATGGCTGTGCCTTCCCCCCGTTCCCTCGCATAAATTAGTGAAGGCATCCGTGGATACACTGAAACACACACCGACCGCGCTCCACAAACACACACTCAAACGCATACAGTGACACAAACAACCACACACACTATATCGCACATACACGCGCGCGCTGCAGCCGCGCGCATTTTATAACTGCCCTTTTTTTTCCTGCACAAACTTGATTTTGTTTCCATGAATCATAATCTCAGATAATTCAGAAAATGTTCCGTGCGCCACGGACACTTACTTGGGAGACCAGCCTCGCCACTTGACCAGGTACTCGATCTTGCCCTGTGGTTGTGGAGAAGGAGAATATTTTTGTTGGGTAAAATATGTCAACGCAATATTTCAGTAACCGCAGCAGCAGCGGCGGCGGCCGCGCTGGTGCAAACGTGCTCCCTCTCTCCCTCCGTGTGTCTCCCTGTTACCTTGCGGATGCGCTTCTTTTCGATGCCCTCCACCGCAAAGACGTGCTCTCCGGCGGCAGGGAGCTCCATGTTCGGTTGAATCCGACCGCGGGATCCCGGCAGGGAGAAGGTGAAACGCTGGCTCCGCACGGTCGATGTGCTTTCCCTCTCGGTGCGTTCTGTGCGCGCTTGGTAGTTTTCCAGTTGTATCCAAATCCAAGTGTATTCTTCCCTCCACCTCCCTCTCCCTCCCCCTCTCGCTCTTTCACTCTCTTAGCTTTTGCACACACTCACTCCTCAGTCCTGGCAACCACCACCAGCAGCAGCAGCAGCAGCAGCAGCAGGATACATACGTACAGAGATATATTCACAGTAGTGCGGCTCTGTGAGCTGCTACTCCTCTCTCCTCTCCTCTCCTCTCTCCTGCAATAGCTTCAGCTCGCTTGCATGACGTCAGGAGGGGAGGGGTAGGCGGTGGAGTCCTTGCACCGTACAGAGGTTGGGGTTTATCCCCAGAGTGGGTGAGTGAGTGAGTGCTGGACTGCGGGAGGCATATCTGGAAACCAAAATCAATCAGCGCGTTACAGTCATGGCGTGCAGGAAATCCACTTGTGAATCTGTTACTGTTTAATTCGAGTTCACATCTGTGGATGGTGGTGTCGGTGCCATCCTCCACCTCCACCATCACCATCCTTACACTGAATAGTGACTAAAAGATCAACACTAAAGTTGAATTATATCCATTTATCCAATGGTTTTAAGACCACACGGGTCATTTAGAAAAAGGGGTTGAAGAATTGTGTTAATAACAATTAATAATAAACCGCAAATATTTGCACGGAAAATGCGCCATCCGAGACCTGCGACATTTTTATGGCGGCAAATTAGCACCTGGAGAAGCTGAAAATCACACGTGTTTTGGTGCAAACTTTGATGAAGGAGCACTGTTTAAATGGAAGCACAGCGACATAATCACCAATGATTTGGAGCTCACCGAGACTGAAGAAGAAGAAGAACTCAAGATCATTTATTTATTTATTTCTTCAAACTGCACAGTGGAGGGTGAGTGCATGGGGCTGAGGCTCTATTTGCGCCGCGCATATATAGGTCACACTCTGTGATCGTCAAACCGGTGCCATGTCCTCTGGGCTCAACTGGCATTAATTTGACACACAGCAGATGTTTGCTGTGCCGCCTTCAGCATACCTGTGGCAACTTTGTAATGGTAGACACCCGCTCACTGAGAGAGAGAGAGAGACAGAGAGAGAGCTCTGTTCCAAACACCAAAATCACCACACTGACTGTCTGTGTGTGTGTGGTACGTATATCTGCACCATGGCAATTTAAATCCAACAACATAAACCACATCACCAGTGAGTGTGTGTACAGTGTGCTGTAGCTGTCACTCCTTTTCAGTCACCTAAATTTATGGCCACATAATTAGAACCAGGGAGAATCCCCCCCCTCCTCCTCCTGCGTAAAAGACGCGTTTCGTGCGCTTAAATTTTGCGCCCCGCACGCGTCGCGGCCACCAGAACGACGCCATTCGACGAAAGGTGTCGCATTAGTGGCACAAAAACAGCTAAAAAACGGAGAGGAGGGGGCGACGACCGACGCCTCTGTGTCTCAAAAAAATAATTCAGCAGCACAAGGGTTAAAACGAAGCCTCCAAGCAGAGCGGCACAGCCAGCCTATTAAACACAGGCACGATATATCTCTGCCCTGCCATATAAGGTAATGGACAGAAAGCGGCCAAATTAGACATTTTACACCCATTTATTCCCGGATTTGTGTCGTGAAATTGATGCGGGAGGGGGTCAAGTCCCATTTGACTTCAAAGGTGGTCGGTCAAAGCGTCGCATTTTCTCCTCATTTCTGTTTTTTCCCCGTACCCTTCAGCCGCGGCAAGGGAGCGCATACGCCCTGCTTCCCTAGCAACAGCATGAAAGGAGAGCGAGAGACAGACAGAGGCAGAGAGACAGACGGGGAGACAGACAGACAGATGCGGGCAGGCAGAGAGACAGGGGGACAATTTAAGTTTTACACAAACAAATAAGCTTCTGTCACAAAATGGCTCCAACGATCCGTCGTTTCCTCAAACGTTATTTTGCCCTTGAAGGAACCAAATGCATATTCATAAGCCACGCAGCGCAGGTAGCCGTGTTTTCCAGGCTTTGTGCATATTCACACGCAGCTCTGTTTACACAGCAGGTTTCCAAAAATACAAATTACAATTCATATTTTTGTTGGAGCTGACGGCAAGGACGCAGCGCGAGCCTGCGTCTAGGAGATAATGTGTTGAGAATATCCTCCTGGGCAGCCCGTGGGCGCGCGCGGTCTCATCACGGCAGCTCCATGTAATTATAAAAACACAACCTGAACTTTCAACATTTGGTTATATTCCAACAAAAGTGCTGCACTTTCGTTTCAAACTGACTTAATTCCTGGCTTGGATGATGTGAATCAGCTTCAGCAGCACGTCTGGATTATAGGGCATTTTTTGTTGTTGCTTGTTTAATTTCCTGCGCCCGGGTTCTACATGGGATAAGAAACCGTTCGTTTTTCTCTTAAAAAAATAAATAAACATTAATAAATAAAAATGACGTCTTTTTAAATAGCTCTGTTGTGTGAAGAGCTCCTGCATGGCCGCGTCCCCTCCCTCCTTCATGTACACTTGTTGACTTATACTTATAAGGATGAGAAAGAAAAAAAAAGTCGGGTATTGGAAATCTAAGAGGGTTCGGTGAGATGTTCGATTCCCGACAGTTTAGAGAATTAGATCGAGCGGGTTAAAAAGGCAGCATTAATGGATGGTGGTGTATTTCTGGAGAGCTGAAAAGAAGACGAAGTGGTTAAGAAATAATTCAGTTATTATTCACTGCGTGTTGAAAAAGTCCACGCACAGAAACAGTTAACTGATGTCATCCTATAGACAGCAGCTCCTATTCTTTTAATTCTGAGAGGTTTTTTTTAGCTGTTATTTTCTGGTGTAGAAGATTTCCACACTCTTCCTCCTTCCTCTTTTGACAGGAACTGGTGTTTATTTTGTCCTTGCTGCTGCTCATCAAGGTCAAACCAGCTGTTATCATAAACACGAGGATGTACTCAGAGCTGAAGTCTTATCTCTTATTTGTACAGGACTTTTTTTTTTTTCAAACGACCCATGGTGTGGTTTTATTCCAACGCCAAAGGATCTTCTTGACTGTTTCAAAGTTTTAAATATTTATAAAACTGCCAGTGCAAAAATATATTTATGAGCCTCCTGCTGCTGCAAATTGTGTCGTGAGGTAACAGACTTTTTTTGTTTAGTTTGTTAGAGTTTGGATTGTCCTTTTTTTTTTTTTAGCACAGTGAAGGAGCTGAAAGTGGATGATTGTACGTGCGTGTTAGAATGTCACTGGTGTATATTTATGTCAGTGTGAATGTGTGTCTTGAGCAGGGCCGGGGTCAGGTTAAGTCATGATCCCTGGGCCGCTCTCAGCGGGAAGCACAAAGAACTCAGCCTTGTGACTGTTTTCCATTGCAACACCAATTTCTTTCCTCATTCTGTCTTGCGCGCACACACACACACACATACACACACACTCTGTGTCTGCACGTACAGCTGGCTCCCTCAAGAAGCCAGTTCACAAAATGGAGGCTCATGCAGGGAGAAGCCAGGAGGAGGCCTCTCTTCACTGGCACTCGCCACCCACAGTGCCAGGAGTGCCAAGTGAGGGAATGACGATGAGGAGGGGGAGGAGGGGGAGGAGGAGGAGGAGGTTTTGGAGGCAGTGTCGTTGGTGGTAGTGGGAGGGAAAGCTGGGAATGTGTGATTGATGCGGAGGGGTGAGGGAAATAAAAAGGTGTGGTGGAAAGAGGACAAGAGGGAGGATGAGAGCTACAAAAGGGAGACAGAAAGGAGGGAGGGAGGAAGGAAAGAAAGAAAGAGAGAAAAGGAGGAGGAGTAAAAGGCCCTTGCCAAGCATCCGATTCATTCCTCCACAGTGATGGGAAAGAAAAGAGTTGATTGGTTTAAGGGACAGAATGCAGGGACAGAGTGGGGAGAAGGAGAAGGAGAAGGAGGGGAGTGTTACAAAAATGTTAAGAGGGCCCTACAGCCTTTCTGGCAGCGCTCAGCAGGCGGTCATTAAGCTCCACTATCAAACGGACAAGGACATAGTGATGAAACATGGCAAGAAAGGATCAAGGTTCACACTGTTGCAGAAAAGAGATTATGGAAATGGAAGAGGACATCTTTAATTATGTGCCGTAAGAAAACCCTCCACATCCACACAAGTTTGTGCACTTTGTGAAAAAATGTGGTTAAATTTGAAATTCCAAATAGACAAAGATGTTCAACCGTTGTTTAACGCAATGCTGTTTATTAAATAAAATAAATGATGATAAAAATAATTGTTACCTGCATCCAAGTACTTAGTGTTCCACTGAGATTTGAGAGTGCTGACCATTACACCATGGAACTGTGGATACTGGTTAATATATACAATTTTGTAACTGGACCCCCCCTCAACCTCAACCTCCCCGACCACCAGCACCAGCACCTGTGTATATAAAAAGACTTGTGTGTATAAAGACTCAGGCCACTGCTGCCGTCTCCTCTTTGACATAAGGGAACAGACGTGTCCAATGGAGAACAGTTCCAGACTGCAGTCAGGCCAGACCAGGACACAGACTCTCCACTTCAGTGGTTCCTTCACATATTTACATAAAATACCATCGCTGTGAATGCAGCTCTGCACCATCACAGGTGCTGGACTGGGAGCGGTTTTTGTTTTTCAGAGTCGGGAATCTCCCTGTTCAGATAAAAATAAATACATAAATAAATAGTATAGTATAATTGTAAATACAGTAAATAATAGTCCTAAGCCTATACTTGGGTACAGGTATATATATATATATATATATATTCTAACCCTGGCCTTTATAAACATCATGTTTCCTCAGACTTTTTTTTGGCCGTATCATTTACCATAAATGGAGACAATCCAAAATTCTTTGCTATCTTGGACTTGTTTTAACAGCCACGAGCTGAGCTGAGAAGTCTGGCACAGACTGGTAAGAAGCTTCCTGACGAGGGTTGACCTTTGTGTGGATTCTGCTTAAATACTTCACCCTGACCCATAAACCTTTTACCAGTTAATCTCCGAGGTTACGTGCAAGAGCCTTCAGTCTGAGTGTGTTCACAGGCAGTGATTTCCAAACGTCCTCATGTTCAGTACAAATAAGGTTTTCAGTAGAAACAACTCTTTTCACCGCTAAATAAATGTTAAACTAAATTACCAAACAACGGCTTTTTGGAGTTAATGGCGTTTTTGGCCACGTGCCAACTTTTCTGGAAATGCTGTGTGTTAATTTACTGCCTGATTCCTTCACACTGCTCTATTAGATTGTTTTGTAACAGCTGCTCTCTGCACCCAGGGCCCCGATCCTCCTTCTTTTCCTTCTCCAGCTTCAGGTGCTAACACAGAAATGCCCCTTTTTCCCTTTGTCTGCCCCTGACATGTGTTTAATTATGATAATTGTAACAAATGGAAGCCATTAAGAACCCATTCATCTTGATGCAGCAGATTTTAATGCACTACGAGGATGAGGCGTGAGCTGTGTGGTGGTAAGCTTGGGGAGTGGGGAGCTGGGGAGGAGGTGTCTGCGGAAATTTCTCCTCCAGTGTCATTGTCACGGCCATTGTTGCACCGAGGTGACAGGTCTTACAGAGAGGGGTGCTACCTTCTCCTCCACCCTCCCCACCGCCTGCCTGCCTGTCTTTCGTCGTGTGGGGTTCACTACCACCACCACCATACGCTTCCCACATTGACCCCCACCTCTCCACACCATATCAAGGAGCTTGAGCAGGAGGTGGGTGGTTGTGTCGAGAGAGAGGGAATAAGAGGAGGAGATAGTGAGAAAGGGGGTGAGGGCCAAGCTGTAGGGGAAGGGGAAGGAGAAGGAGAAGGAGGTGCAGTGCAGTGCGGTGCGGTGGAATTCTCGCAGAATCTGCGGCCGAACAGACACCACTTGTCAATACAGTATTGAGCTGCAGCACAGTGTGCGAGGAGCGGAGCTGCAGCTCGGCACTCCTCCATTTTGGATGTATTTATTCCCTCGCCATCAATGATAGATACTCCACTGCTTTGTACAGGAAATCACAATAGTGCGCTTGTACGGCCGGCACAATGGCGCTGCCTCAGAGAACAATAGCTGAATAATCCACAGAATGATTGTGTGGCTG